CGATTTACATATGATTTGACCCCAAAATATTGATTTATATCGATCTAAATAAATCAATATTTTTACATGTCCCTGGTACGTACGTACGTACGGTAAAAAAAAATTACTACGTAGTACGTACACCTTCTATTTGGTATTAGGGCGTGACCAATCAAGCGTGTGACAAATAATTTGCTCACATATAAATTATATTATTAACCTTATTCGTCATGCAAAGATTGGTCACACCCAATGCGATGTCAGCTATTTTGAAGATTATTTTTTTTGAGGTTTTTTTTTTGTACATAACGCATAAATAATATTAACGTTAAGAAAAGCCAAACTTTAAGAAGTTCTTAAACACCAGATGCAATTAAATTATAAATTTAAAGTTTGATTCCTGATTTTCTCTTGGCGTTCTTTCCATATTAATATTCTTTTTTTTAACGTATTTTAAATTGCTAAAGTTTCAACGCCGTTACATCTTAATTTAATTGAATCAGTCATTAAACTAGGAAAGCGGGATCTAATTATTTAAGCGTATAACTATTATATGCTTATCTTTATATATCTGTTTCAATGAAAGCTAAAGGGCTCTAACTTTGTAAAATCGGCTCTTAGATGCAATTTGACCAATTTAGCACTATGAATTAGGTTAAGATGATGTAATTGTATATTTACATAAAAAAATTGACCTCACTTAGATTACAAAATTTAAATAATTAGTTCTCATTACATAGGACGCTATAAAAAAATACATAAAACATTTTAATTTAAAAAAGTATCTAAAGCTGATCTGTCCGGATTGAGAATAAATTAATTAAATTTAAATGTCCATATTAAGTGTGAAATTATGATTTTGCTTATATCCATAAGTCACTTTTCTTTAAGTATTCGTTCTTGTATCCTCCCTCTTTAATACGTTGAAGTCTCTCAAAAGTAAAGTGCTCAAAATTTGTTTAAATTTGATTTATTACTGCATTAAACTCATGTACAGCATTTATTTCTATAATTAAACCACTACTAATTGACAATTTCAATGCTAATCAATTGAATGATTAGGAATTTTTTTACTTATGCTCTTATCCTACACCCGGAATCCACCCGGGATTTTTTCTAACCTATTGTCTGACCTTAAGTGGATTTACTTATTTCTGCAAGTGATACAAAATCACGTCCAATAGAAAATTAGCATTAGGGTTAGGGTTAAGGTTGGTATAAAGAAAATCGTATAGTAAAATTAGGCCAGGAATTTTTTTTATTAGATGTTTTGAAAAAGCCTTCGATTTCACATTACACAAAGATTTCACCTGATCTTGCGATCTACATATAAAAAATTTCCTTTTTTGGATTCGTATCACTTGCAGAAATAAGTCTGCTCTGCTCTGTAAATTATAAATTTACAAGTTCACTTCCTAATTTTCTCTTGGCGTCACTCCCATATTAATATATATTTTTTTAACTTATCAAAAGCGCAAAGTTTCAAATTACAATCATATTTATTTAATTGCAAGCGAATATAAGTATATTATTTTATTGAAATTAAATATAAAGACAATTAAGCATAAGCTTATCTACCCAAGCTTGCTTTAACTGCTGGTTTTGTAATTCAATAGCCTCTGCTTCAGCAGCTTCTTTTCTAATTCTAATTCGGCGTTTAACAAGTCAACTTTTCGTTTTTCCAATTCAATATCTAGCAATAAATTATTTTTATTATTAGTCAGTGCCGTAGATATTCCTTCAGCATTATTAGATTCTACTTTAATTCAATTTTATCTTGAAAACTAGTTTCATGATATAATTTATTATTATTGTTGGTGGTAAAACCTTTTTTTTTGCATATATTAGCATTTTTAGACTTATATCTTGTTGCTAAATAAACAAAAATTAACAGTTATGTTAAATCACACCACTGGTGTTAACACCAGTATCAGGTTACACAATTTAATTATGCATTATTACATTTAGTTTACTATGCATAAAAATTATAGATCATGTAACAAACAAATATTAATATACCCCGCACTTAAGTAAATAACCCCATATTAACGTTCGTAGTCAAAATAAAAATATAAAAGGGATCCTCACTCTTTAAAATTTTAACTTTTGCTTCATTGTTGCATAATAAATAAGTAGTCAATCGTTTGTTTTATATGAAACTAAACGATATTTATTTTTGCATTTCTGCATTTACGAACCGAGTTCAAAGAGAACATAACTGTTGCTATGTCAAGCTTGTTTTCTGGCTTAAATATACTTAGTCTCTTTATGTTGGTATAACCTCTCATTAGATATTTAACTATTCGCCTGCTCTTATTAATTTTTTTGTCAACCAAATGTAAATTACTGAGTTCAAGTTTATTTTACTATGCTTAGTTTATTTTTTTCAACAAAGTTTCGCTTATTTTTGACCTACCTTGTTATTTACTGACATGACAAATAAGTGTCTGGTTATTCATACATCTTAATAAACATCCAGTAATATTTTTTTTTCTTGATCAAGAGAACGTAAATATTGTTTCGTATTGTTATTTTTCTTGATATAAGATGCACCTTCTTTCTTTATTGATCATAAACTTGTTGTGTTTGACATATTATTTTAGCTTTAAATATCTACTCGTCTTATCTACGTTCACTTACTACTATTCAATATAGTGTATAGTTGCTAATTTATCTTTATTGGCTTCATATTATTTGTTCAATAAACTGATCTGTATTTTTTTGCTTGATTTAATCTTTCGCGCATTACATAGATGTTTAACTATTTTCCATTCAGATCAGTACAAAATTATTTCTTCACGAATTAAACATACCAAAGAAACCACTAAAACTAGTAAATTATAATTAAAGACAATAAATACGTTACCAATTCCAAATATTGTAGATGATTTCAATGAAAGTACTTTTTCTAAATTTAACGATATAAATAACAAGGATTATTTTGCCAAGAGTGCTTTTTTTGAATTCAACAATATGAATAATGAACTGTTAGTATTCAACAAGGTTTCTTATTTGATAGAAGTTACTGTATCGAATATAGTTGAAGCTATAGAAGATACTGAAGATGCAACTGAAGCTATAGAAGATACTAAAGATGCAACTAAAGCTATAGAAGATAATAAAGGTGATAGCAAAAAGAGTTTATACCCTATTACATTGAATATGGTTTTTACAAATTAGGAGGAGTTAGATGGGTAAGCAATTAATTATATTTTTTTTTGATATCCTTTTGATATCTACTGTACTGTATTAGTATTAAATATTTTTTATTATTATTACTCAGATGGTTTAAAAATCATGGATTAAAACACGGTTTTGTGTTTACTATCACCCATAGTGAAATGACAAGGATGATAGAATTCCCTAATGCCATGTTTATCGATGTATGAGAGGCAGACCATATGTTTAAAAAAAGGAAGCATATAGTACTGAGGAATGTAATCAAGGTTATTATAGCGGTAATTGTGGATTTCGTATAAATACGTACTAACGTAAAAGTGATAATATGATTCATATATCAAAAATTGATAGCCAGTATGATCATGCACTTATAAGAAATATCGAAGTAGTTGCAGCTCATTATAGAAGGCTTACTCCTGAAGTATGTAAAGAAATACAAATATTTATCTAGTGAAGTACGTGCTAGGGCAATTATTGAAGTTTTACAAAAAAAAAATTCTGGAAAGTATATTCATGCATACAATATATATAATACAATTCAACTGTCATGTGATTATGACAAAACAGTAAACGACGCTAGAGCAATGTTTCTTGAACTTTTAAAGCAGCAACAAACAAATTTTACATTTTATATTGATGCCCAATTTGAAGATCATGACAACTATCTTACAAGACTTTTCTGGATAAGCCCAAGTTAACAACAGTTATGGGCTAGATTTCATGATATTGTTTTACTTAATACTACAGCAAAAACTAATTGGCACTCGATGGTTTTATGTATTATTATTTTAATTGATAATCACAATTGTTCATGCCTCACGGCTTCTGCAGTCATTTCGGATAAAACTAAAAATATATTTATATGGTTATTTACTAATGTACTTAAGGCTACTGGTAAATTAGCACCACGTCTAATATATACAGATGCCGACCCAGCAATGATTACAGCTATAAGCAGTTCTTTGCTGATGACAAAGCATCACTTTTACTTGTTCCATATTCATAAAAACTTAGAAAAACATTTTCTTAGCAGATACCGTGACAATTGGAGATCTTTTTTTAAAGACTTCTGTAGTATATGTAATAGTCGTGTTGAATCAATCTTTGAAAAAAGATAGGATGCATTATTACAAAAATATACTGATACTTCTAGTTATTTACAATCTCAACTTTATTAGCATAGGGAAGCTTGGGCACTATACTTTACACATCGTACATTTAATGCAGGTATACAAAGTACACAACAAGTTGAATTATACAATGCAATAATTAAGTCTCAAATAAATAGAATGTCAAGTCTTCTGAGACTAAAACGTAATATTGAGAAACTATTAAAAAGAGTATGTCATTTTGTACATTTTAATAAAATTGTTGGACAGCTTCTCCTTAATCACGATGAGAGTTACTATAGTAGATATTTCAATATGGTCGATATATCATGTCAGAATTTTTTAACACCTGCAATTCTAAAACTCCAACGCAATAAAATCAATTACAGTATATACTATCGATGTTATATTAGTATTTTAACAGACAAGTTTAGGCTATATGTAAGAGTTACTGTACATCTTATTTTCCTGGCAAGTATTTCTGCTATATACAACCATTTACCTTATATTACTCAGGTAACAATTTACTATACTGGAACTATTGATATACTAAATTGTTAGCTGCGTGTTGTTAGGTAAATAGAAATGATCGTAAGAGTTATAGTAAGAATAATAATAAGGCTAAAATTTCTTATATTGTTTTTCGTAGTTTAATGATGAATTACCAGATAGAATGTTCTCTAAAGACATGTTTGATATGAATATCATTGAATATCATTGAATTAGAAGAATTAATAGATGGTTTTGAGTTTGCAAGAATTTGGTGAGTTTCCTCATTAGACGGAAAAAACGTACATTTTGTTGTGTTCTATGATAATGTTTCACATTTATGCATATGCTTAAC